CAACTTCACTTTTTTTCCCCATGGTACTGGGGATTGAACCCAGGGCCTTTGCACTGTGCTACATCTCTACTTTCTCTCTATCTCTTTCTCTGTCTCTGTCTCTGGGCCTCTCTGTGTCTCTGTCTCTGTCTCTGTCTCTTTCTCTGGAACAGGAACTCACTAAGTCACCCACCCCCAGAGTCTATAGACCTGAATGATCTCTAACCACCTTCACCTCTACCCTGCCCTTTACTCTGTGATCCATCTTCTACCGCTCCCCATTTCACACATCTCACCTCTCCCCACTGGCCTGCTTATACTCAGACAGTAGATTCTTCTGCCCCAGTCCAACACTTTAGACATATTCCCACCTCAAGGCCTTTTTTTTATGTCCCAGTTATCCATAGGTCTTGAATATCCCCTCCTCAGTGAGCCCTTCTTTGACTGCCTTGTTTAAAATTATGTTCCACTCTCTCTATTCCTTTTCTATGCTTTATTTTTGCACACAGTACTTACCACCAACTAAAACTCAATTTATTTTGAATATTCACTTTCCATTTGTCTCCTCCTATCATAAGCCCTCTTCAAGGAAATAATTTTCTTTTACTTTTTTTTTCTCTTTTTGTGGCACTGGGGATCAAACCCAGGGCTTCACACACACTACATTCCCAGCCCCAGGAATTTTCTTCTTTTGTTCACTGCTATAGTATACTGCATACACATTTACATTGAGAACTCTAAGAGGTGCAAAGCCTAAATCTGAAGGAAGTTTCTCTAATGGTCAAATTTCTGATCTGTGAGGGAAACTACACATATGGTTGCTGATCTGTGTGGACCTTTCTGCTTCTCTTCATCACCTAACCTATGGAGGTTATGCATCACTTTGCCTATTCAACTCACCTGAGACAGGCTCCGAGGTTATTGCTTTAGCGTTACTGTTCCTACTGTCTACTAGACATATCCACCGCTGGATTTCATACAAGTATCTCAAACGAAAAGGTGCCAACTCAATACCTAATCTCTTTTCCCACATACTTAAAGCCCCTCCCTGCTAGCTTCTTTTCTTTTTTCCAGATAATGGCAAGACCACCTATCTTGCCATTCTCACTAGCTTGCAGTCATCTTTCACATCTCCTCCTCCTCTCCCTTCTTCATCCTGTCTTACTCTGGCAATTGCTAAAATCTTGTCAAACCAACAACCTAAACATTTATTTCTCAAATTTATACTTTTCTGTCTTTGTGAATTTACCAGAATTAGTTCTTATCTGCATGGTAACCAATTTTTGCCTGTCCCACACAAGCCCCTGAAATTCTCTTGGCAAAACACAAATATGATCCATGTCATTCTTCCTCATAAGCAGCCCTGCAAGCTTTCCTTTGCTGTAGAATATAGCAAAAGTCCCTTGGCATGGGATTCCAGGCCTTTCATCATCTGGCACTATCCAACCTTTAGAGCTTTGGCTCCTACTAATCCTCCCAACACATTTACATTCCTGCTACCTCTCACTGCACACCTGTTGCCTCTGTCCTTGATGGTCCCTCTTTCTGATGTGTTCTTTTTCCTTTTTTTTCTGTTTGAGAATTATTAACAATATTAAAAGAAAAAATAAGGCTGGGGGATATAGTTCAGTAGTAAGGCCCTGGGTTCAACTATGCACACATACACACACAAAAAATAATGATTTATATATGCCAAGTATTACATATGCTATATGCTATCTCACTTAATTCTTAGAAAAATGCAATAATTTGCCCAATTTAAAGCAGCTAGAGCCTGGGATATAGCTCAGTGGCACAGTACTTGCCTGGCAAGCTCAAGGTCCTGAGGTTTAATTCCTGGTCCAAAACAAAAAAATTAAAACAACTAGAAAATGATTGATCCAGGATTCAAACTGGCTTCTGACATCAAACCTTATAAACATAATAGTTTTCTCTGACTTCTAATTGTAATTGCTTTTTTCTTTTGTGTTCTAAAAGTAGCCTTTTGTTTTTAAGTTCATTACATAGAAGTGAAGTTTAAACACACACACTCTGAAGCCAGACTTCTGGAACTTGCTGTGTGAGCTTATATCTCAATCTCTTCAGTTTTGAAATGGGAATAATAATAGTTCCTATTTTTTATTAGACCATTGTGAGGCTTAAATAAGTTCAATCTATGTAGTTCAGCACAGTGAATGTTACATAGTCTTGGTCCCACAGACACACTCTCACTTTTGTCATATCTGAGTTCCTGTGTACCTCACTAGATTCCTTATATCTCATTAGATTCTGGCCCCTGGGAGGGGAGAGATCTTGTTCACCTTCCAAACTTGCTGTACACAGCACACCAGACCATTCATCATCTTGGGTGTTCTGTAAATGTTTGTCCAATTAGGTTTGTAAGTCTGTGGGTGTTTGTGCTAGACAAAAAGACATTTACAAGTTCACAGTCTATGCATCTTTTAAAGGAAGTAGTTATTAAATCAGCCTGGCCATTCAATCATTTCTGTCAATTTCAGAAGCCCAAGTCATTGTCATCCCTCTGCTGTGAACAGGAAGCCTTTTCTACTTTCAAGCCTTTAAAGAGTTTCCTCATTTGCGAGCCAAGACTTTCCTTGGGAGGGTGGAGTAGGAAAGGGACACCTGTCACAAGTTTCCAGACTTCTCTGACATAGATGGAGGAATTCAGCCCTCAGTAAACACAAGTCAGTCTTTTGCGCTGGTGTTCCCCTGCAGTGAGCAGTGACTAGGTGTGGAGCTTGGGTTTTACTTCCAACCACAAGCACAGTGTACCTACTAAGAAAAAGGGCTTCAGCCCTGAAAGCGGCGTCAGTTGCACCTTGGAAGGCCTGAGGATTTCTGAGTGAGCAGAGGTTCAAGTTACATCACATTGTTCTACTGTGCTTATGCTTGTTTATTTATATTTCAGCCGGCCTCAGTAGGTGAGGCTGCTGGAGGGAGAGGGCAGAAGGAGGATTCAAAGGAGAGCGAAAAATGGTAAAAAAAAAAAAAAAAAAAGAAAGAAAGAAGAAAAAAAAGGAAATACTTGATTAGAAGTTAATGTGTACCCTAGAGCTCATTTGATTTGCATTATTGTAAAGGTGGCAGCTTAATGATTAGGGACTTCCAGGAGGGGGTGGTTTCTGCACTGAGTTGGAGCTTTGTTTCTGATGAGTTACAGCTGCTCTGCATATTAAGACTAGACCAAACGGGGCGTAGAAGAGATCACAGGACCATGCACGCTCCCAGTGTAGAGTGCCACCTCATTATCCCCATCTACACCTGTGCTTTCTCCTGTCCTGCACCTCAGCTAACACCTGCAAGTTGCTTAGGCTGTAACTCCGGGGCAGCCTGTCATCCTGCCCCTCACCAATGTTACCTCCTAAAGGTCATCTGAATCCATTCTCTTCTCTCTACCTCCACTGGCATTGCCCACACCTTGTCACGGACTTAGTGTGTCTTCTTGGATTATATCTTCCTTACAGGAATCTAAGCCTCATGTCTTGGACCTACGTCCCTTTTTATTCTCATGTTATTGCTAGAGGGATTTTTCTAAATTAGCTTAAAATCCATCTATGGCTTTCTCTGGCCTTCTAAAGCAAGTGTGCTTTTGGGGTCTGTGCTTGTATCTCTGGCTTCTTGTCACCTCCGTATCTATGACTTCCTTCACACTAGTAGTCCTAACCCGTACTCAATTTCAGAAGATGGAGTATTTGCTGCAAACCTTGCAGCCTTCTGTGCTTGCCCTCCTTCTGCCCAGAATTCCTCCCTTACCCTCGTTTCTTTTCTCACTCCCTTCTCCTCAGGTTGAATGTTGTTTCCCTTATCTGTACCCTCACACCTCTACTGTAGCCTTTATCATAAATACCATGAATTTCGGACTAGACAGAATGACTTGCTTCCCAGCATCTAGCTTTGGCATACAACAGTTGCTCAATAAATATTTTGATGAGTTAATGAATCAACTCTACTAGTCATATTAGAATTCACCTATAGTTCAGGGACCAGGCTGAAACATCTCGTCTGACAGAAGAAAATACAAGCGTGATAGCCATTAACGTTCTCGGATGGGTGGAATTTCACACTGATAAAAGGATTGTCAAGTTTTGTTTCCTCAAGCTGAAGTGATTCAAACATAGAAAACAGTTTAGAAGGCCTCTTTAGATTTGATGGAAGATTGTATTTTCCCAGCCTTGGCCAAACAATGAAGAATATTGCACGTGAATATGTGTGTGTGTGTGTGTGTGTGTGTGTATGTGTGTGTGTGTGTTTCAGAAGAGGTGTGAGAGGTGGACAGGTAAATTACGAAATGAAATGGGCCCATGGAGGACTTAGACCAGCACACACAAGGAATTAGTTGCAGTGAAACAACGCGGGGTAACTCCAAAGAAATAAATAATATGAATACAAAGGGGGCTCACTGCATGGCTTAACATAAATTTAGGAGACACCTTTCCACACAGCAACTGAAAACGGAAGGGACTGCCTGTAAGGTAGCTAGCAGTCCGCTGCTCCAGGCATCATACTCTCTTCAGGCTCATGCAGGCAGCTGGGCTCAGGCAGAGGCAGGACACATGGGAGGAAAGGGTGCAGACGGTGCTGTGGATTAGGCATCTTTTGATTCTTCGAATACTGAATATACGTATTTCAAAACTATTGATTTTTTCGAGTCCTTTGATTTCCTTGGAGCCTTCTGATTCTCATCTCTAAGCGTTAAAACGCAGCTGAGAAAAGCTGCAACAAAGATGGGAAAGGGAACTGAGTACTAGAAAAAGAACAATTTAAGGAGAGAGGCCATAACGGAGGAACTGAGAGATGAGAAGAAAAAAAGCAAACGTTAGAAGAGGAAACCGGGAGGCGGAGAAGGGAAGGTGAACTCAGTGAAGGAAGACAGCGACCAAACTGCTCTCCGACTGGAAAAGGGGAGGCACGCCCAGAGGGAATCGGCCGCTTTAAGGACGGCCCCGCCCCCTGGCGTGACGCCACAGCAGGATCGTTCGCGATTGGCTGCGGTCGGAGGGCGGGATGGGGTTGCTAGGCGCGGAGCGGATCCGGCTGGCCCCGGCCTCCTGGAGCTCGGAGCCGCGGCAGCGGAGCCGGGGTTAGCGGAGCCGCTGGAAGATGGCGAGCGGTTGGGACGCGCGGCTGGCTTGGCGGCCGGGGCGCTTCCCGCTTCTGCTATGCTTGCTGCTGCTTCTGAGGAGCCCGGCCTGGGCGGCGCACATCAAGAAGGCGGAGGCGACCACGACAACGAGTGCGGGCGCCGAGGGCCAGTTCGACCGCTACTATCACGAAGAGGAGCTGGGCAAGGCGCTGAGGGAGGCGGCGGCCGCGGGGCCCCCCGGCCTGGCCCGCCTCTTCAGCATCGGCCGCTCGGTGGAGGGCCGGCCGCTGTGGGTGCTG